GGCACAAGGGGTAGTGTCCCCAGGTACCAATTGGCTGGGCCCCAGAAGCTCCTGAGAGTGAGTAGCCCTGAGTTACTTGCCAAGGCAGCTTTTTGTACTGCTGGGGCCAGGACAGGGCAGCTTTTTATACTGCTGGGGACAGCACAGGTGCTGGCCCTGGGCTCTAGCTCTCCCTGGCTGCAAATCTGGGAGGAGCCAGGCAGAGTTATTTTGCCCCAAGTGGCACAATTTGCTCCATAACAAAGTGCATGCCTGAGCACGTGTGCTGAGGCAAAAAGCCCTGGCTCAAATCTGCACCGCTTCTATTTGAGCTGCTGCAAGCACACATGCTTGCATGTGTGGATGCACCCTATGACTGTAAGCATAAACTAACCTCAACCACTATTGAAATTTCTTTATCTTAAATTATCTTGCAGTTGCCCTCTAGGAATCTAAGTAGATACATTTCTGAAATAATTGATAAAAAGAGATAAGTCAACAAATCTTTTATCTGTCATACCTATTTATAATTATTTCCCTTACTTACTGATACTCCCCTGCCACTTTTTTCTGGACTTACGCCATTTTCTGTTTGAATTGCACACTGTACATGAAGCCACAGGTAAGTTCATCAAACAAGTATCCTGTATTTGTCTCCTCTCAAGCAAGCAAGTAACCAGTTCCTTGCATCTAGAGCTTCCAAGCTGCTCAGCTTGTCACAGTAAATATAGATCACGCTATACCTCCAGGATGTACAGAAAAGCTTTAAATGTAAGAAAATGGCAGCACTCACACTGTGGCCTCATGTAAGTTGGACAAAGACAGGGCTGTTTGCTGGAATGCCTTCTTTTCATCCAAGGGTGAAATAACTGCAGGCTCATTTTCCTCGTGTGAAAAACATAGATGCTCCTCAACAGGAAAGCAAGATGCTGATCTGGATGATAGTTCCCGGTTGCTTTGAGAATGATCTTCATCTGAATCTTCTTCCTCCTGCTTGTAATATATAATGTCATTATCAGATCAACTACCTGCACTATATCTTTGTAAATTAATGAGATGATTATTGTAATTAATTCAATTATCACCAGGTACATCTTTACTGAAATGAGTTGCAAGTATAAAAAATAAGGGCTAAAAATGTCTTGGAATTTTCTCACAAACTCTTGAAAGCATTATGTTATAAGGTGGCTTTCAACATGAATCTGATTTCTTTGGGTAGTTGTAACAATTAATTTATCAACACTGATTAGTCATTTGAGTAAAATTTTGCATCAGTACGTGTTTAAACAAAAAAGACATTGATCACAATCCTTCACCCTTCCTTCTCTTGCATGTAGTCTCACTGAGATCAACAATATTATGCACATGAATAGTGTGACATGACTATCCTTTGATAAATTCTCCATACAAGGAACCTGAACTATTTAGCACTAAAAACAGGCTTCATAAATTAAAGTTTTAGTATGCATAAAATCATTGTTTCAAACATATTTGTAGAGTTACAAATGTTAACAACCAAAACAGAATGTCAATGACACCAAAATACAAATACCTGCCCTCCACATGCACACGCACTTTTAGCTGTTGTTTGTAACTAAAAAAAAAAGTGTGAACAATTGCTCATTACAAATATATGCAAGGAAGCTTTACAAACATTCTGAAATAAAATATTTATTACAAAGTTAAATCCAGGATTTTCAACGTCATCTAAGAAGCTTATTGCCATGGCAATAAATCACCTGTTTTATGCTCATAAGAATACTCCTGCCTGAATTATTAAATACAGACACCAGGACTCAGGAATTAGTATTTTCTTTGAGGTGTGAGGAGTAATTTACAAAGGCCTAGTATCTGCTAACTTTGGTCATATGCAGTGATGTCTCACTCTGCGAAAAGTACCACTGAAATGCATGGAGAAAATGTGTACAAAAAATGCAACACAGTGTCAGTGAAGATGGAAGACTCTGGACCAGTTTTTCTATAACAATAATTTTAAATTTATTTTACACGTTGCTCTATGTGCAACAACTGGAAATTGCAACAATATGAAACAACTGGAAACAACAACACGCAAATGCTCAGTGCAACAATCGGAACCAGAAATGTGTAAAGGAAGAGAAAGGCAAGCTGGGGGTTTAGTTGACTATGATGATACATTAATACAATATTGATTAAATGTTAATGTGTCACAGTGTTTATGAATGTATTTTTAACAAAAAAACTATAAAGACTTAAGTCTAAGATGACACCTAATAATTAGATTCTATATATGGAAAATGTATAAATTTGTTATCATTTTCTGGGTACTGGATCTAATTATTGGAGGTTTGCCTTGAATTTGTCTCCTTCCCACTGCTACAGAAAAAAAAATTAATCTGAGGGATCAGGTAGCCCCTTTGCTCTCTGCACCCCCTGAATTTTTCCTCCCTGCATCCCCTTCTTCCTCTTCTTACTGTAAGACCCTGTTCTCCGTGAGCAAATTTGAAAACATTGTCCTCGAGAGATACTTGTCATTTACATGTAGTATCCAGAGACTTTGCTCATCCAAAATTGGTGTATTTTTACTTTTTTTAAACTGCCGCTAATTTTAGCACTGATACTCCATAAACACACTTTTAAGCAGCATGTTTGTATCTACTTATACAAACTATGCATGGTATTATTCCAAAGTGAAAAGGCTGTATACCATATCATTTACTATTTAATTCATTGGGCTAGGCCCCAGGGAAGTCAACAGCATTTCAAGCCATGCTGACCCCACAGCTGAACACTGCTCAGTATGTCTGTGAACCCCATATACAAAGGATCCATGTCCTAATTAGTCTTCCACTCACTACAGGAATTGGGTCACAAGTGCTAAGATAATCCAAAAATGTATATACGGATGAGACACAAGCAACCTGGTCCAGCTCTACTTCACAGAGGGCAGGGCCACACTAATATGCACCAGGCTGAGAGAGGGGGCAACCCAGGGATTCAGGGTGAAACATTTGATGATGTTTGCTAGAATTTAATTTAAAGCTGGTCAAGGAATAACTGGAAATGGCAAAGGAAGGTGCAGCTCAGCTGTGGAAGGAAGTAAAGTATTAAAAATGTATTTAGTGTAGTGGCTCACCATGACCTGAAAAAGAATCAATGCTGAGGAGAACTGCATGCAAAGGATAATCTCATATATCTTATTCAGATGGGCTGCATTAAATAAACTTTGTGGTAGGATTCCATCAGCATTTTCTTGGCCTCTTTTGCTAAGATCAAGCTGAAAGCCTGATCGATGTTTTAACTCAAGGTGTTTATGTCAGGGTGTAAGGAATGGAGAAAGGAAACCCAAAGCTTAAAATAACAGCAGTGGTGGCAAATAACCAGGAGGTGGAAGGTGAAATGAAGAGGTAGAGAAGCAGAAAAAGAAAGACGATGAAGAAGATGGGAGCAACAGTAGAAATAGTAATAATGAGAGAGGCAGCAGCAAAACAGGTGACAGGGAGTAGAACAAGGCCAGAGGGAAGATAGGCAGTGGAGAATAAGAAATAGAATAAGAACAGGATGAGGTACATCAGCTGAGAGGCAGAAAGCAGCAGAAGTATAATGGAATGCTGACCCATCTGGAGTAGCATGGTGGGAAGACATGGAAGTTGCACTGAGAGATGTTAGGGAGGATCACAGACTGCAGATAAAAATAATATCAACCAATGCAGACAGAAGTGGTGGATAACAAGGGATGCAGATGGGAGCAATCAAGACATGAGTACATAGATAAGGTACTGTCTGTGATATTGGAGGTGGAGATGGAACATCTCACCACTCTGATTCCTTTCCAAAACAGAAATACTTAGAGTTTACTTACTGGAACAGTTAAGAGTAGGAAAAATTTATAGCGGGAGACCTGAAAATGAGGGGGATGAGTCGGAATCAGAGCCAGAGAGTAGGCTCCTACCTTTAACTCCTTTGATCTCCAGCCCAGAATGGTGAGATAGAGGTGGAAAGTAGTGGGAAGGCCGGAAAATGGCAGCCTTTTTTAATACAAAGGCCGTCAGGAAGCTTGCAAAAGTGACAGACATGGGGGGAGGGAGAGGGATGGGGAAGAGTCCACCACAGTGAGCAGCAGCTCTGGTGCACCTTAAAGGACAGTTGTGCTCTTTTTAAAACAAGCACAATAGCACTGATTATAGCATCAGGGACAAATGAAAAAGCAGCTGGAGGCACACTACTATTCAAGAATTCAGAGGTGAGAGCAAAGCAGGTGGAAGACATTATCAGACTGCAGTTAATGATATTATCAGGCAGGTAAGTAGCATTAGATGTTTTCAATTTATATATACCACCAAAGCAGGAGGGGAGGAAGGCTCTGCTTAGAAAGCTAGCAGTTTACATGGTTAGAGGGAGCCTGTGGATAATAATGGAGAACTTTAATGGCATAATAGAAGTGGGTGACAGTACAGAGGAAGGGGGAGATGGAACTGTTCATCCAGATTATAATAGAAGAGTCACTAAGAGATGTGTAGGAAGGAGAGAAAATTTTCACTAGATCATACCCAAGTGGAAAGAAACAGTCAAGAATTAACTCTGCGTTTGTATCAAAAGAAATAGACATAAGAAAGAAACCGTAATTGTGGAATCTAGTGATCACCAGGTGCTGAAGACGGAACTGAGCCCCACAAAGAAAAGGGGGTGTGGAAGTTAGAGGTGGACTTTTGATGGAAAGTGTGCTAACACATATATTACTGGGTCTGCAGGGTACTGCCCGTTCCTCTGTTTCTCGCCTGCCATGACTTTCATCTTATTAAGGGAGGAAAGAGATGGAGTGTTAATAGGTACCTGCAGAGTAATGACGCTTGACCCGTCACGTGATTCCAGGTCCTTTATTCTCGTCTTTCTTTTACAGTGGCCCAGACCACAGGCAGCAGCCCGTCCCACTTGTCCCCTCAGTCACTCTCATGTTCTGGAGAGGATCACCAGCTTTGCAGTCCTAAAGGTAAGTACCAGCCGGTGTCCCGCGGTTCCAATTACCTCATTAGCAGCTCGCGTGAACAGCGTCTTTTATTCTTCACCAATTACTGCTAAGGAGCAGTCCCGGCTGTTCCCCCTATGTGGGTAATGGTAACTTGCAGTCTTGACCCAGTCCCTCTGGGTGCGAGCCACTCCTGCCTGTGGCTCAGCTTATTGTCTGCTAATTGCCTCGCTAGCTGTGGAAGCTCACCGCATCTCTCACTGCCTCCCCGCGGCTTGTGCTGGCTCGGCTCTAGGAGCTCCCTCACTGCCAGAGCCGGTGCTTCGGATCCGGGACTGTCTCCCCCTTTGCTCCGGGATCGTTGCCAGCTTCCCCTTTTGGGTCCCAACCAGGGACCACCTCTCTATTTTGGGATGCCTTGGCCCGTCACTGCCCAGACCTGCGCCTTCTTTCCCCTCCAACTCACCACGGCAGCTGGAGTTCCGTCACAGGCATCAGGCGTCTCTACTGATCTGGCAGCTGTATGGTCCCTTCTCCACATCTCTCCGAGTCTCAACTCCGCGTCTTTCTCCGGGGTCTTGGGAAACCCCTCTCTTCTCTCTTCCGGTGCCTGAAGGCATCTTTTCCAGGGCGTCGTCCTTCCTTTATTCCCAGAAGCCAGGTCCCATTGGCTTACCAGTGGTGTGGGGAATCTCTCCACCCCCCCCCCCCCCCCCGCCACACCTGGGCATCGTGACTGCCAGCTGCGGGGATTTTCCCCAAGTAACAGGGCTCCAGTCAGGGATCCTGTTACAGCATACATCAGAGTATTGAGAAGTGATAGGGGCTAAACTAAATAGATTGAGAAGCACCATAGTTGGAGTGGGGAACTGGAGGGACTTGGAGAAGTTGAGCCTTCAAATAAAAAAAAGTGCTAGGAATCCCAAAGGGCATTGAAGACAAATACAGCATGGGAAAAGATGACTGCACGGATATAGCAAATACTCTGGTTATGGGCTGGAAGGACACTGTCCTTTGCCAGAAACATGGCAGCTATGAAGGCTGTGCCACTGCCAATTATTCTATATTGAGGAATTGTATTCCTACCAACATGGGAGCAGATAGCAAAAGTGCAGAGGGAATCTGGAATGCCAAGGACAAAGGTCGGTTAGAGCTGAATTGTACAAAGCAAGAGGAACGGGTGGTCCCAGTCTTTTTTTGTCTGTGTGAAATATGTAAGTGTGGTGTGCAAGGGCAAGGGGAAAAAACACAGATCACCTTATTTTAAGCAGCTACAATGTTGAGGAAATTGGGAGTATATCAGACCTCTTTGAAGAGTCCATGTGTGTGGCAACTGCTGATTCATTATGTCAGAATGGAAGGGTTCATGCAGGAATAAAATAGGGAATAAAATAGACTGGAGGTCCTGAAGGATCATAAGAAGTTGACGAAAGTGGTAAAGAAGAGCTGGTGGGAAACTTTGCAGAAGGACAAGTGAAGAAGATATGGGGAGCAGTGATGCGTAAGCAACAAAAAAGGGGGAACACGTTGACCTAGTGTGGATGGTTGTAAGAAATATCTTGCTGGTGAGAGGTGAAGCATAAATGCAGCTTGATGAGTGCATCAAGGTGCCCAAGGAAGAGTTGCGGTAAACATATGGTGGGACATAGATTTTAGGAGTTTACATATACAATGGTGGTGCAGGAAAGGATCTGCCACTTTCTGAGTGTCACCAAAATAAACCTGTTGTTAGAACAAGACTGGTACTGTATCAACTCATATCAAAGGGACCAAATTAAATGTTACTAAGGACTTTATTAGCATGTGTTAAAACTAGTTTATGGAAAGTAAGAAACCTGGGTTTTTAAGGGTTTGGCTTTCTCTGGGGCTGCATACTACATTGATCAAGACAGAGAAGACATGGAGGAAAAAGGACTGGACACACTTATATCGTTGTTTCACTGAATGAACAGAGATGACTGATGGAAGGGGCAGGTAGTTACTGAGGTTTTTCATGGGGTTCTGTATGAAGAAAAAGAATTCTGTAAGGGTCTTTTGTGGAAAGCTGATGTATGTTGTTTAAGGCTTTAATATATATAGTTGTATTTTTTTGTATATTAGCTGTTTTTGCAATATGAAGTTTTGGTAAAAGAAAGGTGCTCAATATGTGAAGCTTGATAAGTCGAGAATGATATGTCTTTTTAATAAAATTTGTAAATAAGAAAAAAGATTCCCATTAGTATGTTTGCCCCATCTGGGCCGTGTGTTTTATAGTCATGCTCAGTGTTGGTTGCATTTGATGAACTTCATAGTTGGTTTCCATTACTGAGCAAATGCTGCTTTTGTCAGCAATTTGACAAGTAATTCATTTAATGCGGTTACCATGTATGCGAATATATATAAAAAAACTCCTTGTCTTGTATTTAAGAAAATGCAGTAATACAGAGAATGGTATATTCGCAGAAGAGATATATACCAAATATACTGAAGATGGAATTAGGCAAGGAGCCTCCTGCATTTGTAGGCAAATATTTATCCAATGATTCCACAAACTACTTAAAACCCTCACACACAACCACAAAACACAAAATCAGACACAATAATACCCTACAACATGCCTGCTTCTCTAAGAACAGGGAAGTAGCTGCTTAATAACAGGAAAGTAGCTGTTCTGTGTGTTGTATATTTATTGAGTTATAACGGTTAAAAGCTGAATGCCATCACAAACATTTAAACATTGATTCAGCAACTGATGCACTATACAATGGCCCTTATTTCCAGGTTAAATCATGTCGGTTTTTTTACTATTTGTTTGAAATATCAACTTCATGCTGTCAATATGCTCTTCATGAGCAATATAAGCATAAGGTCACAACACACCAAAATCAGTATCTATCGTAGTTTCTTTACCAAGCTATTACTTAGTTCTGACTTACGATAGTTGTAATCAAAGATGGTGTAACAAGAAGTTTCTTAATAATTCTGTATCTGTCATACAGAGGCTTCATAAGACTCTTCTGTTCTTTTGTTACCTAAAAAATAAACAATAAGAAAGTATATTTTTCTCAGAAACAAAAATGATGATCTACAATACTTGAGATACATTTATTTGTACCCTGAGTTCAGAAGTGAACTTGGCTTTGAGTGTATTCTTTTACTTTGTATCATTTGAGTACACCGGCATAATTCACGGATAGCGTGTACATTCTGAAAAAAGTGCAGTCCTATTAGGTAGTGAAAAATGTAGAGTTTCCTCGAGCCATTTATTCTGGAAAAACAGTGATGCTGTTACATTTCACATTCTGTGGGTGCCAATATAGGTATGAGTTTTCTGTGTTTTTTTATATTTAATGAATGCGAGTGTCGGGAACATTTTATTTAGAAAGAATACATTTTTAGTTAGGGTGCTGCTGGGTCCAATCCAACCAAAAGTGTCCTGTCCAAATCTTTGCAACAAGCCAACTAATGGCTTGAAAAGAAAAGACTGGCTAGCATTGAAGCTCAAAAGGTAGGATATGGGGGATGGAGCAACAACAAACTCTGTTCTTAATGTTAAATTGTCAGAAAGGAATCACCTGCAAATGAGTTCATCACCTTTCTGTACTTCACAATTCCCTACTGTCAAACTTTTCAGTCTCAAATCACTAATAACTGCACTGCCTGTGTATGTACACAAATGCAGATAAATGAAAAGACATTGACTGCCTGAAGCCATGGGCAAGATTTGTTTAGAAGTGGTATATTATCTGGGCATGTGAAGCAAGAAGGAGGTTGGAGGACTTCTGCTGGATGCCATGATCTGCATATTTAATTTCATCCAAGTACAGAGCATCTCAAACACATCCAGTACCATATCAACATTCCCCACTCCCAGATGGTCCACCTTAATACTAGAAGAATGATAATCCTTCTATGACCAATCTTCACTTTTAATTTTGTTGCAGCAGTCAGGCTTCTTGGTCGGAGCCATCTTAAGGACATAATGTATACTGGGGACCTCTACACTTTAAATCACAAGACCATTATCCCAGCAATTGCCTTTGAGAGCACATGCAGATGCCGTCACCATTTAGTGTGAGCACATATTTGAATTATGACTGTTCATGTGCTATTGCTTTGGTTGTCTCCATTTTGTGCCTTAATGTTTGTGTTCTCTCTGGGGCCACAAGTCCCACATGGCTTGTTTTACCATTAACTGGTATGTCTTGAAGCTTGGACCTGTGCCCTAAGTATTTGGGCCCTGTGGGCCTCTGCCTTAAAATAGCACTACTTCTAGACCAGGATGGAACTGTCAGCTATCGAGACATGACTCCTGTTTGAGACGGATACGTTTAGAACTTTTCATTTATTGAGTCGCTTTTTCAGGGAAGCTTGGAAGAACCTGCTGATATCAAGATATGTATGGTCTCTTTGAGCAGGTGCTGTCAGTAATATATACAGACCCCCAAAGTCAGTAGCTTAAACTCATTGTTTCCCAATGTACCACCATGAAGGCATTCTGGTTCACACAGATCAGCCCTTCACAGTCTTAGATAACTGAGGCACAGAAGTCACAGACTTTCTAAAAGTTCCCAAATCTTACTCTTTACAAGTGATACGCAGATCTGGGGAAAAAAACAGTGACGTATCTGACCTAATGTTCCTGCCTCGTGTTCTTTTCTAACTGTGAAATGCTTTTACCTTGGATCAGAACTTCCTAAGGTATTCAGCATTTTTCCTGTTCAATACATATGTTCTCAGAATCATCGACTCTCTTTCTTTCTTTCTTTCAAGATGGCCGCTGACAGGTGAAGCCCTTCTAAGCTCCTCCAGCTCAGGTGCTTTCAGCTTGTTGCCCTGCACTCCCTGTCCCCCTTTTCCTGTCCCCCCCCCAAAAAAACCCTTGCCTCTCCCCAACCTGTCCCTGGGGACCCCCTCCCTGCCCCTTCCCCCCCCTTTCTGAGCGTTTTTCCCCTGGGCTCTGGCCGGCTCGCTTGTCTCTGCCTCTCCCCCCCCCCCCACTCGGGTCCTC